CCCAGCAAAACCCTGGATAGGCTCCAATACGTCCAGAACTCTGCCGCCAGGCTTCTCATCCGCACCAAGCCATGGCAACATATCACCCCCACCCTCATCCACCTACACTGGTTTCCGGTCAAGTCCCGGATTCAGTACAAAACACTCCTCGTCACGTACAAGACCCTCCATACCCTCGCCCCCCAATACTTATCGGACCTCCTCCATCCCCACCCCTTCTCGGAGTCTGCGGTCCTCCGAAACGGCCTGCTCTCCATCCCCCGCTCTCACCTCCGAACTGTTGGTGACAGGGCGTTCAGTGTTGCGGCCCCCACCCTCTGGAATGCACTTCCTGCCGAGATCCGTAAAGCTGCCTCCCTGGACATCTTCAAATCATCATTAATAACACACCTGTTCACCCTGGCCTTCGGGCCCTGGCCCTTTCTTGGACCCCGGCTTCCTTTATTTTTTGTTTGCCCTTTGATTGTCTGTTTGTTTTGTTTGTCCACCATGTACAGCGACCTTGGGTCCCTTGAAAGGCGCTATATAAATATAATTTATTATTATTATTATGGCTGACAGTCCTTAAATTGATATACGGCAAGGAAAGACAAAATATTAAAGGCCTTTCCGAAGTGATGAAGCAGCACTGGAACATGTCCTAGCAATGTATTGTAAATCAAAGGATGAGCGAGGCTGTGGTGAATATGGCAGGATGCCACAACTTTCACACAAGTGACCAGGAGTACCACAGCTAACTGCAGCACAGGCAGTTAAGCTAACAGCTCCTCTCTCGATAGCAACACATTCTAACAAGTGAATGTTTTTAAAGCAGGTGAAATGTAGAGGAAGAACTTCTGTGTTGTTAAAACATGTTTTCTTAGGCCCACTTCCACCCAGCTCTTGTCTGCACACCCCATTGTAAAATTCTTCAATTTCCACCTCATAAACCTCTTACGAACACACTCCAGCCATTAGCCTTAAATCCATCAGAGCCTTGTAAACCTCCAGAGCAGCTCTTTCTTTTTCCTTCCTCTTTTACTTTTTCCACAGCAGTGATTCTCTCAAAGCCACTCTAGAAGGGGGTGGTTCATTCATTTGAATAGAATAGAATTGGGAGGGATGAAACCCTCTTTAATGGTCACACATGCAGGGCACACAGCACACACAGTGAAATGTGTTCTCTGCTTTTAACCCATCCTACTACCGGGAGTCTAGTACTAGGAGCAGTGGGCAGCTATTGTACAGCGCCCGGGGAGCAATGGGAGTGAGGGGGGAAGGGGGATGTCCAAGGGGGATGTCCAGTGCCTTGCTCAAGAGCACCATGGCAGGGCAGGAGGTGAACTGGGACCTCTCCAAGTAGAAGTCCACACTTGAACCGGCGACCCTACGGCTCACAGTCCAAGCCCCTACTGACTGAGCCACTACCGGACCTAAAATATATATGTCTTCATACTGTAGGTAAACAAAGTATGTTGGTGTGTGTGTGTGTGTGTGTGTGTGTGTGTGTGTGTGTGTGTGTGTGTGTGTGTGTGTGTGTGTGTGTGTGTGTGTGTGTGTGTGTTGAGATTAGCCGCTTTTCTTGATTTGCCTTAGATATTTTAGTTTAAATACAGTGTTAATTGCAGCTTATTTAATTGATCCAAGAGTATGTTTTGTACCATGATTACTCTGTGTTGAGATGCTGTAAATAGTAGGGATGCTCCGATCATCGGAAACAGTATCGGCCGATACAAATCGCCGATTCGATCGAGTGGGCGGGGCCTAAATGGAAGATTTAAACATCACTTTAAATCTTCCATTTAAAGTGATGGTTAAAACTCAGTTAATGGAGCTCATTCACTGGAGCTTCCACAAACAACAATCAACTTAATTATTACATTCAAATGATGTACATTATTCAAGTTTACATTCACTTTGGATAATAAATCGGGAGAAAATAGCGGATGCGCTCTCTTTTTCCTCTCTCCCTCTGTCTCTCCCCCTCCCCCCGGCCCGTCCATACAGCGGCTTTGGAAAAAGCTTGGATTTCTGCTTCACACACGTTGCATACCGCTATTTTACTGTCTTTTTCGGACACCTTAAACTACTGCCAGACTGGTAAAGCCATTTTGGCGAGCTTGTTTTGCCGCGCACAGAGAAAATATTCATGTATTTTACGTCTCGCGATCGGCATGTTTAGAGAGCACCGATCGATCGGTAGAGAGTGAGTATCGGCCGATCTCGATCGGTGACCGATCGATCGGAGCATCCCTAGTAAATAGGTTTAACAGAGGCGATGTCTATATCTTTCTAAAATATTTATGTTGTTTAGTCCTATCACATTACTAAGAATAAAGTGGTGAAAGAAAAGTGTGAAATGCCCTGGTATAGCTTAATCTCTATTTTGAAGATTTAGCATTTAAAAAAAATTAATAACCTTGGTCACAGAATATAAAAAGTATTTTCAAGCAGTGTTTGTATTTGTGTGTTAATCAGCGTAAGGTCAACAACAGCTAATTAAAGTAATGGGAGTTAAACGGTGTCTTTATTTCCCTTGTCTCGCTCTGTCCCAACAGAAAATGACTCAGTAGGAGTCTGGCAAGAGAAAGATGAGAATACATTTTTATTTTTCTCTTCCTAAACGGACCTCCCTTTGTCGAAAGTTGAATTCACAAAACAGTGAAACATATTTCAATAGCCACTGCTAACTTTCTAACTTCTGTTTTATTTGTATCATACCAAAGCAAACACAAGCAGTTATGGCTGTCATGCCAACTCACGTCAGCAGATCGATGGCCTGAGAGGGAAGTAAATGAAACCGTTGCCACACAAGCAGCCAAACCAAGACTATTAAAGTGGAAAGGTCAAGCAGAATAAAAAAATCTATGGAGAATGGATGAGTAAAGATGGCTTGGCGAAGGATTAATATGAGAGGGGACAGCTTAGAAATGACTGTAAATGAAGGTGTGACAGTTTCATAAAGAAACATATGGTCAAAATACTAGAGTAGCCGCCTCATGATGTTACCAGTATGTTAAACATATATGGCAGAGGTGTCCAAACTATGTCCAAACCAAATGCGGCCCGTGGTCCATTTTGAATTGGCCCGCAGCACATTCTAAAAGTATAATGGAATGTGGCCCACACATGAATCGTGTGCTTTTCCTATATTGTGCGTCTTAAATATTTATATTACACAGTATTAATGTTTTAAGAAGCCCACTTATCAAAATAATCTGTCAAATAAAGTTGAAAACATTTTCAAACAAATCTTAATTGATAAAAAAAGGAATGTTATCAGCAATCGGAGGTTTCTGTTTCAAGGAATGAGCTGCCAACCAAAAAAAATGAAATCCTATGGAAAGCTGTGATGTAGGAAGTTTTTTTCTTAAAGCATATTCAAGTATCAAGCATACATTTTACCAACATTTGATTGATTATGTTAACTTATAACTTAACTTATGAGACAATATACCTGAGGGGCCCAGCCTTTTGTATGTGTTTGGGTATGTGGCCCTCAGTGAAACATTTTGGACACCGCTGATATATAGGATAAAAGTTGCTTTATACATGACCATAACTCACGTACCCATGTAGGCATGTGTATATCAAGTGTATATCACGTGCCCTAATACTGTTTATAGTGTGCATTGGTGAGTGCATGATTATGCAGATAGTCTGAGTAATACAGTGGTTCTGCCATTTCTACCAAATTCCTCCAATAAAGACAAAATTCATTAGCTTAAGTACTTATAAGAGAGTTGGCACGCATACACACACGCTTGTTAGGTCCCACTTATCCCATAAAGAACGATCACAATGTAGTGAAGACTGATGCTTACAGTGTAATGGGGGTACACATGATGCATCCTGTATTTGTGTGTGCATGCATGCATGTGTACGCAGAGCATAGTTGATATTTTTCCAAGGGGAACTTTTTTGAAATGACAGGGCTTTTGGCCCTAGTTGACTACTGGGTGCAGTCCAGCATGTGCGCCAGGGATGGAGATTGTCTCAAATAGTGTAGCATCCATAAGAAATTCTTAATCTATTAATTACTATTAAGTGTTTTTTTTAGAGGAAATTAGAAGAAAACTCAGGTTCCTGTCAGACTGCTGCTGTATCTAGATGCCCAATGTGCACAGAGCACTCTCGGAGTAAAGTGAATAAAACAAAAAGTAACAATGGAGATAAGAATCCCATCTTCCCTGTTGTCACTAAGAGAGCTGAGTTAAGCAAGCGTGAACAAGGTAAAGTAGATTAGATTTAGATGGGACAAAGCCAGGGCGGGACAAGGACCTTTTTCAGTCAACCCTTCATTTACAGGCATTTGCAATCTGAAATGTTGTAAGCTAAGTTGTACCAAGCTATAATTAAACATCTGTGAATAATAGAGCTTCTAATTGAGTATACTGTATGCTTCTCCTGCTGATTCACCACAAATCAATAAGGGGGTCCCTCCCTTGTTCATAGCTCTAATGGTGAAAATATTGTTAAGTGAAACACTTTTTAACTGAATTATGTTTGTCAAATCACATTAAGCTAACTTCACCACAAAAAATGTTGATCTATGATCCGCAGCAAAGGAAATTAGCCATATTTTCTCTCTTGATACAGCTCCATACTAAAGGCCATAGGCTAATGAGAGCACTGAGAGTGAGGCTGACATTCCCTCAGCTAGACAAGTTCCTCTACAGCACTCAGACCCACTCTGTCCAAAGTGTTATCGATTAAAGGGTAAAAGCAAACACCCCAGGGGCAGAGGAAGGCCTCACACACAGCTAAAGTTACTGTGTGTTTGTGTGTGTGAGGGAAAGAGGGAAAGTGAGGGGAGGGAAAGAAAGAGAGAGTTGTGTGGCCCACAGTTGCACTGGTAACCCTAAAACAGGACTGCATGGCTACTCACGACCAGAGGTAATGGGTACTGCAGATATCTGTTAATGCACACACTCCTACACCCACATCCTTAAAATCTCAGTTTTTACTCTACCATTATCTTCCCGTTATTAAACCCACACATCCCTGAAAAAGCCCTTTACCTTCCCCTCCGACAGGCTCGAACATCCCAAACTGCTCCAGGACTTTGATGAAGAGACCCATGACCACCAGTAAAGCGATCATCTCCAAGCCATCCAGACTCAACATCTTTGGTTACCGTCTGTCATCGCCCAGCACTGCGCCTCCGAGCCAGGTCGGTTCAGGCCGGGTCGAGTCCAACCAGCAACACGACCCCCGGTCCAACTCCACCCAACTTGAGCAGCGTTCAACTTCAGCTCAGCTAAGAGTCTGCTTCCGCTTACTTTTATCCACTTCAATCCAATCAAGTATTCTAACTTGAGACTATAATGGAAAGTGGAATACTATGTAGTACTAAAGTAGTCCAAAATCTGACCCTTCTTATTCCCTGAGTGAGGCCATACTGCTGGAGCTATAGGCTGCCAGACAGAGCTACAGATTACCACCACACCTGGACTAGAGTTTAAGCTTTTCTCCTCTTCTTTCCTTCTTGTAGGCCTCCGTTGAGTAATGGACACTTGGGATGTGCTGCGCCTGCTGGTCCTTTGGCAGTGGTTTTCAGGAAGCGAGTGTTGTGAGGGGGAAGAGAGAGTGAGTGAGGGCGAGGCAGCAGATAACAAGAGGGGGAGAGGATGAGTGGGAGATGGCATAGAAAATGAGAGCGAGGGAGAAAGGCTAACCATGAGAGAGAGAGAGAGAGAGAGAGAGAGAGAGAGAGAGAGAGAGAGAGAGAGAGAGAGAGAGAGAAGAGAGAGAGAGAGCGCCAGACTCACACTCAAAGTGAGACAGGGATTGTTTGGGGGGGTGAGGGAGTTTAGGTATACCCTCCCTCTCCAGTGATATTATCTTCATTGATTTGTCCAATGTGGTTTCCTTGGTAACTAGAAAAAAAAGGTGAAAAGCCATATTTCACTAATGGAAAGAACATATATTTATGTTTATCTGAATTCAATTCCCATCCCAAGTGTGTGTTGACATTGTAGGGATAACTGTTTTGCAGTCCTTATGCCTGCTGGTAAATGCACTGCATGATCTACTGAAATGTGTTTCTATCAGGGTTCAATTGGGAAAGTATTTTTGGATTGAAATGCAACATATTTTAGATACATACAGTAGCTGCAGTGTTATTGAGCCTGAGGGTTTTAATGATTGAACTCAGTCTGTTTACAATTACATACAACACCCTTTACAATTTATCAAATGTGTCTTTCTGTTCTGTTGTCTGAGTCTTTTTAACACATAGTGGTCACAAAGGGTCCCACAATGTAAGGTTAGTGTAAAATGTTTAGTCCCTAACAAATTCCTGACCAACATCATGCATTATTAGGAAACTATAAGGTCATTTAAGACATCTGCTGGATAAGAATAAAGACCTAGTTTGTTTTTGGTATCATACATTCAAGAAGAATGCGTGAGCAGTAAATAAACTTGTATTGTGTATATATAGGTGTTATACTTTATGATTCATATTCTTCACAAGTTCTGCTTTCTATTAAAATACAGAAGAAAGTGAATTGTTCAAATACGGTTTGTGCCAGGGTGGGAAAAAAAATACACTTTTCCCCAGAAAAACCTTAAAGGTCCCATGACATGACCATTTCTACTGATCATAATTCCATTGTTGAGGTTTAGAATAGATTTACATTGTTCAATTTTCCAAACTCACATCGGTTTCTCAAACAGCATCTCTGTACAGTATGTGTATTCACTCTGTCCTAAACGGCTTGTTGGAGCTCCTGCCCCCCCTCCCTATGAGCCCACTGTGCTCTGATTGGTCAGCTCGCCCACTCTGTTCTGATGAGTCCACCATCGTTACAGCGGAACATCAGTGATTATGTGTTACAATGGCATTAGCAACCAGAAAAGGACACCAGTAATGACAAACAGATGAGAATGCTGCGTGGAGTCTGGGTGCCGTGTTGGCGGGACGTTGCGGGGCTCGCTGCTCCGCCCTTTGAGGATCGAGGAGTGGACAGTGTGAGCTGTATTACTGGGGTCGTTTCCTGGTTGCTGCGTGGGAACTGCAAGACAGCGAGACATCACGGAACTCAACCTGAGCACACATATACATTCACAGCCAGGCTGTTCGCCACACAGTTCGCCACACACTCTCAGCCTGAGAAAAGATAAGGCTGAGTGAGTGTGTGTGTGTGTGTGTGAGGAGCTCCACGGATTGGTCCATTTGGTCGTCGTTACGTCACTTAACCAGGAAGAAGAAAATGGAAAAAGAAAAATCTCCAACGAGGCGTTCTGGAGCAGCATAGACACATATTTTCTGTGTTAGAGTTGTACTTTGAGGGTTTGTGACTTTGCAGACCGTTACATGCATAAAAAGCTACATAACAGACAAGGGGACGGGTAATAACCAGAAAAGCATGTAGCCTAATGGGATCTTTAAAATAACTTTTGTAAAGCAATCAGTGTTTTTACACACCCTTTCCGAAAGTAGAACTGCTGGTTTTAAAAACAAAGTACATGAAGATGAAGCTCTTGTCTGTTACAGAACTATAAGTATAAGCCTGTGATGGTCATTTCCTGCGCAGCATGCCTCATTACGGAGAAGTCTGACACAGAAACCAGGTAATGCATACTAGCACACAAACACACATGTTTCAGGCAAGGTAACGGGAAACCTAATCTTATCACCTCACTCTTCTCGTTTATAGTGTGTACTGTAGGCAAACAAACACCAAGTCACAACAGAGCCATTTTTCCTCACTCTATGGCAGTAATGTATACCGGCTTAATTCAAGCTGCGCTCAAATTGCAGACATACTGTAAACAAAGGAATGTTCAACACACGCTCTCAAAAGAGAGAGAGAAATCTGAGCCTGACTTGTTGGTTCAAAATGATTTCTCTGCACACTTATTTATTGAAGTGTTATCGTTGGAGGGGAGAAACAGAGCGGTGGAAGGAAAGAAGAAGAAGAGGCAGGCTGTTGCATGAGACATGGTGGCAGGGGAGAGTAATGAGAAGTAAGATAAGACAAAAACAGAACATGAAGCAACAAAGGAAGGACAAACTGAAGAGCCTGAGTGTGTAAGGTCAGGTCCCTCTTTGTGGTGATCTGCGAATCTCAAAGGGAGGAGACATCTATTCTTTATTACCCTCCAGCACCTCTCCTCTCCAGGAGGATTTTTCACCTAATTCTGGCTGTCAGGAGAGAAAATTGGACCTGCAGATGTGCCCTCTATCAATATTCTCCTACCCTTACTTTCTTTAGAGGAGGAATTTCATCAAAATGAGACAAACAAGTAGTGCATATTTACTCTTTCAGGGCCACGGTTGGCATGACTAACTCAATATTACATTAATTTAATACGAAATGACTGCCTAAAACTAACTGATCAATTAAAAAGCTCAGAGAAACAGGTCCATTTACCATTCAAACTAATCGACAAAATGTTAATTTCCGATTATATTTTTAGGGTCTATTCTTTGTATATTCACTACAATTATTCATGAACCAGCAGTCTGAGACATTGTTTACTTCTTAAAAGGGAGTTAATGAGATTTGGTGAAGATTAATGTGTGCTAATATAATAGCAATTAAAACAGACCAGTCAAATTTGACTGGGAACACTAAAGTGAGAGAAACTAACACGACAGGAGGGTCAAGAGCAAACAGTTGTTCAGTCAGACAACTCACGTGTTTCTTTAACATGTTTATTAGAAGCAGCATATAGTTGAGTTTGGAGACTAGGCTCGGGTTTCATCACTCCACAGATATACATAGCACGATGAGTGATGATTAAATAACTAACCCCCAGAGCCTACAGGTGGAAGCTGGGGTGGTGGTGGGGCAGGCAAGCAGCAGCGACGTGGAAGTAGCTGCAGCAATAGCAGCAGCAAGCAATGCATAGAGAGATATCTGGCAGGTTAAATAGAGCGGCATATTAAGGAGACTCTGTTTGGTTGGTTGTAGAGTGGCAAGGAGCGTTATGTATGAATGCAGCATAAGTGCTCGAGTTGACTGCCTGAACTAGCTCGCAGGCTTCGCCCCATTTCAGTCA